TTTAGAGAACAGACTGTGAGAGAGTGTTCCAGGGAAAAGTAATAAAAAAAACACGGGACTAGACAAGGACACAAGAGGCTAAGCAGGGAAGCTAAGGGAGAGGAGGAGGAGGAGAAAAGTGTGACCGCCTTCGTCAAGAGCAAAAGAAGAAGTCGAAACTATTGCATTACTTAAAAAAAAAAAAGTTTAACCCTCTGGGGTCCAGGGTATAATTGGCCATTTTTGACTACTTTCGATGTTTCCTCTACATTTCACCTTTAAAAACTATTTGTTTGCCTTGTTTGGTATCATTCTTTTCAGCACAACCTCACGTGTCTGAATTTACAGTTTTGTTTTCATTTTGTGATACTGTATTAACACAATTCATCTAAAATCGGACAAAAAACATCAAATCCCAGTAGAATGTTTTATTTTTACTGTAACAACCACAAACATGTTTAATGAATCATATTTCATAACTTTAAATGCAAATATAAATGGTCAATTTTAAAATCCTATGCACAAGTTTTGCAATCGCTCCTAAAACGTCCCCCTCTTCCTAAACAACCAAATGTCATGTTGCCATATCATTTTTGATTGGTTGACATGGTGCATTTATCCACCAACACAAACGGGCTCTTTTTTGTTTGCTCATAAGCAGAGAGTGCTTGCTGCGCTGTCCTTAGACAGCAAATGTGATGAAAATATTAAGGAAAAAACGCATATATATTGTTTATCATGACTCTGGTTTTACATGGCCTATCTGCACAATTTAAAAACTGGCACCTTGTTGCTTTGTCATCTTGAAGCAGTCATGTGATTGGCTTACCACGACTACTATATTCTTCCTCAGCCAAACAGCAGCACTCATGCGATCGTTTTGCCCCCTAGCTCCAGGTGTTGTGCCAAAAAGTGATCATCTGCCAGACAGTGATTGCCGTTTTCAGATCTTATGCCAACAGGCTGCACAGTAATTAATTCTCCACTATAGTAGGATACTTCCTAACGGGCAGTGTTGCTCAGACCTTGTCACCACCATCACTGGGCTGTTTCCAAATGCTGCTAGTGGGACTTGCATAATCCTCCCAAAATGTTCAATTCTTTGGTGGATATCCAAAAGGTTACTGTCTCATAATGTCTCTGTAGTGGTTTTGTAGTGCAGGTTTAGTACTGAATGGCATTTACAAAATGGTAAAAAAGACTGAGTGTCCAGTGAAGTACTCTACACAAACATACCTGATGCTACAATTATTGATTAAATTAGGTTAATCTTTACTGTGATGGTTCATAAACAACATATTCCCACTGAGGCTTTTATTACTGCTCTTCCTGGCTCTTGGTCCCCCTCTTTTTCTTTTTTTCTTCTGCTTGTTTCCCTCGCTGTTTCTCTCATCATACATTAACATGTCTCGCAAGCAGATGGTATCTGGATGTGAACAATCTGTATATCTTTAGACCTGTAATTAAAATTTGCCTCCAGTGCTTCCGGAGCATTCCACCACTCCCAAACATAAATATACCTTGGTGACCTGCCTTTAATCTTTCATTTTTCTTTTTTATTTTTGTGATCTTTGAAGCTGTAGTACTGCATGGGTTATTGTTCACCTCAAAGCCGGCACATTAACATAACACAGGCATAAGATGAGGATTTGTGTCTCACTGACTGGTAAGTGAGACGGCAGGCTTGCTGTTTTTCTTCTGCATGCCTAATCATTACAAACCAAGCAGTGCACGAACAGAATGCAACGTGCAATGCTATTTTTAACTTTTCATTTATTATTATAATTATAACTTTCAAGGAACCAAATTACACTGTACACAAGAGTAGCAAAAATATTTTTTAAAAAAGTCTAGAGGTGAGTTTTGACAAGTTTCTTGAAGGACTCCAGTGACGGGGCATTGCGAAGCTCATATATGAGAGAGTTCTGGAGGGTGGGGGCCACCACACTGAAGGCCCAAAGGTTCTGATGTTGGTGCGAGGTACAGAAAACAGAGAAGGACCAATGCATCCGAGACTGTGTGTATGGTTTGCAGCAGGTCAGAGAGATACTGAGGTGCCAGGGCATTGAGAGATTTGTAAGTAAGAAAAATCTTGTGAGTAATGTGTGACTTGACCAGGAACCAGAGGAGATATTGGTATTAAAGTGTTACACCACAACTCAGACCATCTTCTGAGTTGGATTTTTAAATCACTGAAACTAAGTTCACTGCTTCTGATAAGTTTATATTGGCCCCTCTCTGATGTTCTAAAGTCTGCAATAACATGGACATCAATAATCTCTAGGTGATGCCTCCATTGTTATGGATCTATATTAGCATTTAATGGATCTGACTTTACATTGGGAACGGACAGAGATCAAGGGCTGATTGAATTTGATCAGTCATTAGCATTTGACGCTAGTTTTAAACATATCATTTGCAAAAAAAGTTTGAAAGTAAGTCAGTTCAAAGCACAGATCTCAACAGCTGTAGATCTTGATGTTTACAGTGACATATTAGCGTTTGTTCACCTATAACTCCACAACATCCCAGTGAGCTCGTTACACAGCTGCTGGACAAATGTACCCTCTGAACAGCAGTAAACTACCACATTTGACTGTCTAACTCAGCTATGAGGCCAATGCAGTGCCAAACAGTCTGTCAAGTAAAATCACCTTTGCAAACATTTGTAAAAGAATGGGCTCAATGGATTCAAGCGTAGTGCAAGAAGTCAGTTTGCAATAATATCCCTTACTGCTGATCATTGATTATCAAGGTGTGAAGAAATTCAGCAAAGTGGAAGTGCTCCTAAGACTCACACCAGCTCACTGGAAAGTTATCCATCATTTTCAGTCACGTGACCGACTCACTGCCCTGGCAGACAAAGCAGTGCTCCACCTTTAAGCATAAACAGTAGATAGTACTGCTGGAGTAAAGTAGGGATTTTTTCACCTCTCCTTTTCACCTCATGAAGAAAAACTACAAATTTTGGGAACTGTGATCCATATTCCGCCCATCAGCTTTATTTAAATCCCTGGCGATGTCTTTCCCAGAGCTGGAGTTTAGTGACATCTACAGGTATCTTCTAGAGATTTGCTGACTTTACCTGCTGCCAGGATGAAGTTTTCACAGTATGGACAGCTCCATGTATTTTTAATCTGGATGGGTAAATAATGCCACTATGTTGGAGGTGAAGAACAAGGAATTGTTCTTCATTTATTAGTAAAGTAAAGCACTACATAGCTATCTTAAACGGGCTACCACACGTAAATTTTAGTTTTGTTGACTTGGACATTTACAGTGTCATAACAGTAAAGCTGACAGAGTATCAATCCTACAGTTTAATGAGCCGTCGCTGACAGCCAGGGTTGCTGTGGAGAAGCAATGATTGGCGTGATGAGTGTATCTGATAGGACAGCAACTATCAGGCATTTTGGTCAAGTTTAAACTTGAAGACGTTCAAAGGATGGCTGCAGAGCAAAGGACCAGAGCACTGTTTTTGTCTGCCAGGTGGGCGTGTCCCAGTAGCTTTGACGTCACCTGGAAACTCTGGCTAGAGCGGGGTTGTTGAGGGACAGTGTTGTGCTGACTGGACAACCTAACTCCAAACCTCCTCTAGCATTAACAACAGCAGAAGCATTGTGTGCTGGGAGCTTTGTGTCAGGGCTTTTCATAGCTGGACAGTTCCTGTAGGTGTAATGTGTAGAATATCCAGTGCACAGTGAGAGTAAAGAATGGTAAGAGCAACTGAAAAACCTAAACAATGAGCTGAAACCTGTTAAAATGTTGTATTTAACACAGAGGATTGTTACCGTAACTGTTTCATAATAAATAAAAGTGCATTGGGTCCTGCTAAGGTAGATGAAAGCTGTTTTTTATAATGGACACTTTGACTGCTGAGATTATTAGTACGTAGGTAAGTCGTGTAATTACTCATACTAGCACTGCCAAAAAATATGATTATGTGTGTGTGTGTATATATATATATACGCCATATATATGGTGTAAATTCACTATTTTTGTAGGGGACTTTCACTTCGACCTGGATGTTGACGCAGTTAAGCTCTGTCATGATAAAATATGACGACCCACAGGGATCTAAATGAAATGTTCTCTTCCAAAATGAGATGTCCAACATTTGAAAAATGAGTCACCTGTGCTAACAAAGTGATTGATGGGAGAAAATTATAACAAATTACATATTTTTGTGAGGGATGACAGCAAGCAGGGAAGCCAACTTCTTCCTTAGAAATCAGAGGAGGAGAACACTTTTAATTTCAGAGAAAGAGTGATAAAATTCGAGCTTGCAGATGCCATATGAAGGCTTAATATATGCTGACTGTTCAGAGGATGTGATTGATAGAGACTGAGTGTGAGCATGGACCTCATGCCGACTTTGATCCCATTTGCTGTCAACTGGGTAGGAGGGATCAGCGTCATCTCGCCATCCTCGGCGGTGAATGTGCAGCATGTGGCAGGATCCACACACTACTCGCCTGCTGCTCTCCCTGTGTGTTAGTAAAGCATTTCACATTTTGGTTTTGGCTAATTTCAGTTTTATAACCTCTTCAATTGTCTTACAAAACTGTGGCGCAAATTCTCCCAAAGTGCTTCCTGAGTAATCATCTGAAGTGCCCTCATCAACCACACACACAGCTGCTGTCCTCCGTCTCGCACTCCTCGAGTTTTGTGTTTTCTTACTCTCACTTTGTCTCTTTAATGTTGCCCCCCCTCCATTCAATTCCCCCTTTTTAATAATGTATGAAGAGAAAATGCAAGCAGACCAAGAGGCATCATTTTTCAAGTGCAGTTCACTGTGTTCTGAAAAAATAAAGTGAAGTATGAATGTGTAAGTGTACCAAGTGTCTTGATTTATATTTGAATATAATCTATTTTAGTAAAGAAATCATGAAAGTGTATTATAGGACCACGCAGCAAGAAATGGGGAGGAAGAAAAATCTTTTTTTTCTGCCTCTTCTTTTTTCTTCCTTCTCTCATCCACCCACTGCAGTAACTGTCTTCCTCTTTTTCTCTTCCTCCAGGTCCGCCTTCTGTACTGCTCCCTGGAAGAGGCTGAGCTCATTTTCCGGGCAGCTTGGGCAGCGGGTCAGGCCGGGCCCAGCCATATGTGGTTTGCTGTGGGACCAGCCCTATCCGGGTTGGGTCTGGAGGGGCTTCCAAAGGCTTTGTTTGCCATCCGGCCACAGGGGTGGAGGGATGAGCCACGCAGGTACGAACCCAGGATTTAAAATATCAGGGGTTCACAGGCTGCGGGGGCTTCAAACAGGGCTTCTGCGGGTTCAATGAATCTGTGGATAAGGTTAAATGTGTTGCATTTGACTCTTAAGTGTTCTCATCCATGTCTGGCTCTGTAATACTAAAACACACAGCATACTTGCTGAAAGACAAATCTCTATGGGAATCATTGGCATGCCCTTAAACAGCCCTCATCATTAATTCATAAAGTTCAAATCTTAGCCAGTTTTAATTACTACTAATGATCTCCCGAGCCCCTCCTGTTTGTTGTCCATCTGCTATTGGCCATATAATCCATAAATATGTCATTTCCACTGCTATGTCGATGACACACAGCTCTACCTGGCATAGTTTGGCTTTGATTCATGTAAAACCAGGTCAGAACAGTACAAGATATTAGTTTGTGTCAACTCTTCAACTGTTATGTGAAGTGCTAACACAAAGCCTGATTAAAGTCTTCTTTCACCCTCCATGGTGAAAGAAAAATTGACAAGACACTGAAGCCACATAAGGATGTGTCATATTTGTTGACAATGCTACTAGCTCAACCTAGTACCTGATTTGCATACTGAGATTTGATCAGATACTCCACTGAATCAAAGTAATTAGTATGCCTCTTATTACCAATGCCTCATGATTACATGACATTATCCAGACAACCCTTTTTAGAAACAGAATGAAAGTGAACACCAGATGCAGTGAGATCTGTCATATCCACTACACACCGGACACCAGACATCCATGCACTTTGTTTTGTGGGCTTGATCTGATTGGTCAGTCACAGTCTTTGAAGAAAGGAAAAAGAAAAATACATTTTATTATGTCTGGAAAATTAAAGATGGATAGTAATATTTTAAGGCTTTTACAGAGACCTGAATTTTACCTAACTTCAGTCATAGAATCATGTTTACTCTTTTCTGTTTATTAGAGATCTAAAATACATCTAAATGGTAAACAACCACTGCAACTAAAATTGAATTATATCTGGTTTGAAAGTGAAATTTAATAGATGTTTCAATTCTGTGTGAAATTGTTGTGATCTGCTGCACAACACTGACTCCAGATACACAGATTAATATTAAGCCTCAGTTGAAACCTATTGTCCCTATCCTGTTGGGGCTGTCCGTTAGTTGATGGAGTAGTGCTGGTTTACAACAAGAATAATCAAGAGGAGTGTTGACGAGGATGAAATGTCCTTTCAAACAAATTTTGATTAAAAAAAAAAACAGCCTTTTTTTCCATACAGCTTTCCAATGACCTGAAAAGATGTCTTGTTTTTTTAATCTCAACATGTGGATATCCACCTGGATCTATGTTTTTATATTCGCAGTAAAACTTTAACATTTATGGTCTGCTCAGTTTGATGCTTTTTACGTGTTGCAGTGGAACAAGTGCAAAGCTTCACTCACGTAAAAAATTCTAGGTTTTTTTCTGTTTTATAACACATCCCATTCTAAGAGCATTCATGTCTATACTCTGTGAAAAACCTTTATTTTTGGTGTAATATGATTTTCCAAGCAGCTCATATGTGAAAATCCCCAAATCAGTAAAACCTTGAGTAAAATGACAAAATTGCTCAAATGTTAAAGCACATCAATTAGTGCTGCTACTGTACTGCTGATCCTTGTTAAAATGTTACATTTCTTTAATTAGGAATCTGTAGCTAAAGACTTTTACCTCATTTTGTGATCCTATATAAAGTATATGTTATGTTTCAGCAGACTGCTTCTAGTGCTGAAACTTTATGCATTATCAATTTTGTAGTTTCTTTTCTCTCTGCTGAATTGAGAATTCATTGAGTTTTTCTGTATGAAGCCTTGAAGATGGAGAAACCTTATGATTAAAAAATACATGAGAAGATAAATATTCTTCTCTTCATCCCTGAAAAGCACACTTTTTGCACATGAGTACACAGTTTAATTTTACAACCACCTGCATGTTCATCAATCAAAAAAAATCAATCAAAATTTATTTATATAGCACATTTTTTAGACCGAGGTACACCAAAGTGCTTTCCAGTAAAAATCGCAGTACAAATAAAATCACAATAAAAATATAAATTACAAAATATAATAAAATATAAGATAATTACTAATCTAAATACAGAGCCAGATGTAAATTACCCTAATTCGCCTTAAATGCCAGATCAAACAAATACGTTTTTAAACGTGATTTAAAAGACTGAATGGAATCTGACGCGTGAATATGAAGAGGGAGAGTATTCCATAGCCTGGGTGCAGCAACGGCAAAGGCACGGTCTCCTCTGGTCTTCAGCCGAGACCTAGGTTGCACCAAGAGCAGTTGGCCCGATGATCTTAGTGCTCTCTGAGGGCTGTACAGACAGAGGAGATCAGCTAAGTAGTCAGGTGCCATATTGTTTAAAATTTTATAAGTAAACAATAGAATTTTAAAATCAATTCGATATTTAATAGGAAGCCAGTGTAAATTTTTCAGAACAGGGGTGATAGAGTCAAACTTTCTAGTGCCGGTCAAGAGACGTGCTGCGGCATTCTGGACCAGCTGCAGACGCTGCAGAAGAGAAGATTGTAGACCCAAGTAGAGTGAGTTACAATAGTCCAGACTTGACGTAATGAAAGCATGAATGAGTTTCTCCATATCTTTGTGTGGTATGTAGGGTTTAGCCTTAGAGATTAGGCGTAGTTGATGAAAGCTAGTTTTTACCACAGTAGAGACCTGTTTGTCAAATTTGAAGGAACTATCCATGAAAACTCCAAGATTCCTGGCAGTATCAGTAAGGTAGTTAGCAACAGGCCCCAATGTGCCAGTCAATTGTCCCAGAGGCATATTTCGGTCAAAAATAATTTCTGTCTTCTTTCCATTTAAAGTAAGAAAGTTACGTGATAACCAGTCCTTGACATCACTCAGACAGTCAAACAGAGGATGTGGTGAGGATAAAGCATCCCCAGTCAGGTGAAGGTAGATTTGAATATCATCAGCATAACAGTGAAAAGAGACATTGTGTTTTTCAAAAATGATTATGATTCATGATGCACTCTCTGTAAGAATGACCTGATCTCTTCACTGGGATCATAACATTTACATCCAATCTAATCGAAATAAATTGACCGAGTGTATCCAGGTGAAAGATACAATTCTCTATTGATTTTTCTTTATTACCTTTAAACTCATGTCTGCCGCACCTCATAATGTGAAATGTGTGGTGGTTCTAACTCTTTATATAGTTCAATTATGCAAATATAAAATTTAGTTGCAACATAAATCCAAACAAGGTCAAAGAGATTTCCCTGGATACAAAACATTTTACACAACATGACGACACAGCCTTCAATGTGATTCCATATATCACCTGGAGAATGTTCACTTCACTCGCCATCTTTCTACCTTCACTGTCTACCAGTCATCTTGGCTCCTGTGAAATCCAGGATCCTTTTCTACCTTTTCAGTCAGTTTTTTTAATGTATCGTGTCACTGTCCTTGTAAAATGTACGCCCAGACTAGAAGGACAGTCCAAGTGAGCAGTTCACTTGTCACCAGTGTTGGTCAAGTTACTTGAAAAAAGTAATCAGTAACTAATTACTGATTACTTCCCAAAAAGTAATCCGTTACTTACTGATTACTTATTTTCAAAAGTAATTAATTACTTAGTTACTTAGTTACTTAGTTACTTTTTAAAAACACGATTTACAACCTGAAGAGGTGATAAAGCGATAGATCTTTCAGCCAATTCTACTTTTTCTACATAATCCATCATACAAAATGTAATCAAATGGAAAAGTCTCTTTTTACTT